AATTTTTAACTGTGAAATATAATGAGAAATAGCGTCACTTTTTAATAGTCAAATACAAACGTAGACTAAACGGTAAGGCTTGTTTTGGTATCTTGGGCAGCATCACATCTATCTTTTACTGATTTTGCTGTTGTTTTTATATGTTCTGCTTTCATTTTAATTTTAGTTAAAGTTTTAGTAATTTAGTTTAGTGCCTAGTAAACTAGCTGAAATAAAATAAGTTTATGTATTTTATTTCCATTAACATTTATTTATTTCAAGTAAAGGAAATATATTTATGGTTTTAGTTTACTAATATAACCAATTTACAAACACTGTAAAAAAAAAAAAAAGGTTTATATCGGAAATATTTTTCAAATCTGTAGTTTTACCTACTCTTTATATGCCTATAAGAATATCCAATTGTTAACACATTAGCAGCAAAATCAATTATAAGTTTTGTCTCTTGTGCATTTGTTGTGTTGCCTATTAAGACCAAACCGTATCATACAAATATGTTCCACGAAGTCTGAAAAGACGAAAATCTTTTGCTCTCTAATAAGAAATTGTAGTCATTCTCCATCTTAACGCCTCAACATGTGACTGCAGGCGGTGAATAAGCTGGCGGAGATCATGAACCGGGAGCAGAGTACGGCTGTTTCTAAAGCATGCAGCGCCATCTGCTGTTCAAGACTAAGCTCAGAATCGACTCGAGAAAGAATCGCAATACATTCGGAAAATCTCAGAATCGATGCGAAATCATTTCTCGATTCGCGATGCATCGATTTATGTTCCCAGCCCTAAGAAATATATTTCTGTCACAATTTTTTCAAGTTAAACCGCACTTTTATTTTGACGGGGTACCATTCGTTTGTATATGATATATATATATGATCATCACACACGCATAGGTGAAACCGCGTGTCTGCGCCACTCATTCACACAGAGACATGCAGGATTCATATTTAAATAGCATTTTAAGGAGAACCGCAAGCTGCAGCTGGAGCTTAACCAGGAGAAGGAGAAGTTCAACCACATGGCCATCAAGTACCAGAAGGAGCTGAACGAGATGCAAGCGGCAAGTCAATGTTTATTAGCCTTTTCACAGTAACTGTTATTATCATTAATGCCAATCAGTGGAATCCGATGATTATCAAAGTCAGTTTCAACAAGACGATCTCAGTGCTGCTGCGGTGAAGGCTTGCCTTGTGAAAACTGATTAAGTTACAATGTAAGCAGTAAGTCACAATAACGTCAATATTCATGAGCCAAGCATTGCAATAGCGTGATTAACCTTCATGTTTTGTTCCAGTCATTTGAGGATTTTCTTTTTCCTGAAAGTGCTAGTTCATGTTATCACTTTGGACTAAAATTTACTGACTTCCCCCAAAAACTGACAATTTTTGTACTTGGAGATTTTTTCCCCCCGCCTTGTTACCTTGGGGTTCCTGGTCAAAAACGACTGACCTACAAAAATGACTATATGCTATATTAATACCAAATCTTAGATTCAATCTTTTCATCAACTTGTTTTGTTACAGTTAGCACAGGTTTTGCATTTCTTTTAGGCCTCATTGATCTGAGCTTATGCACTTTAGTTTTTGAGTGAACTTTGCCAAAAAATTATCCAAAAAATAATGCTTTTTTTGTTTACTCATAAATTGAGGTGCATGAGCTCAGATCAATGAATCCGTTCTAAAAATAAATATAAAACCTGTGCTAATTAAAAAAAAAAAAATGGACACAAAGACTGAATCCAAGATTTGGTGATAACATGAGAGACATACAAGCTGGGCTGGTCATTTTTGACTGGGAACACCTTATTAGGTAAAGGATTTTCAGAACAAGGCTTAGCAATTTTGGCCTAGTTAATGTTGTTGTCTGTGTTTGCAGCAATTGGCAGAGGAGTGCACGTATCGCAACGAGTTGCAGATGCAACTGGACAGTAAGGAGAGTGACATTGAGCAGCTCCGAGAGAAACTCAACGACTTGCAGCTCCGCGTGGACAACTCCAGCGTCACCAGCCTGCAGCCAGACGAGACGGACAGTAACATCGCCGGTAAGGACACGCTCACTAAATATGAGCATTTCTGTTATATGAATCTCAGGTAAATTAAGGAACAGAGAGGTTTAATTAACCAGTTGATTGTCACTTTAGTCTGAATGGGGAGAATGAAATACAGAAAATAAGAAGCTTTAATGTTTGGGCAGTTTACCTAAAATTCATAGTGTGCACATGCGAAGGACACGCTCACTAAATATGAGCATTTCTGTTATATGAATCTCAGGTAAATTAAGGAACAGAGAGGTTTAATTAACCAGTTGATTGTCACTTAATCTGAATGGGGAGAATGAAATACAGAAAATAAGAAGCTTTAATGTTTGGGCAGTTTACCTAAAATTCATAGTGTGCACATGCTGTGTATATATCTTTATGCATCTCATTCATAAATGTGTTTTAGCTGATTTATCAAATCAGCATGCAGCATTGTCAAAATGCTTGCCTTTGTTATTATAATGCCACCTATTCAGGTAACACTTTACAATAACCTTCCTTAGTTAACCTTCGTTAATGCATTAACCAGCATTAACTGCCAATGAGCAGAACATTTGTTACAGTATTTATGGATCTTTGCTCATGTTAGTAAACAAAAATATACCTGTTCATTGTTAGTTCGTTCATTAAATAATATTAACAGATACAGGTTTTGATTTTTAAAATGTATTAGTTCATGTTGAAATGAACATTATGATTAATTAATGCCGCAGAAGAATGAAGTAGAAATTTTTCATCGTTAGTTCATTAAATAATGTAGTTAACTAAGGAAGTTTATTGTGAAGTTCTCGTCCTGAACTACTCAAGCGGAATTTGATTCCAGATTTCAAATAATATGCCAAAGTTATATAAAAAACTATGAAAGTAAAATAGTGTGAAAGAGAAATGTTTACTTTTACTAAAAGAAAATATATATATAGACTTGATTAGAAGGGATTCTTTGGAATGCATTTTTTGTTATGTAAAAATATATTTAAAACAAAAATTATGCCTATATTCTGTTTATATTAGTTAGCCATTTCATAAAAAATCTACATTATTTGTTATTATTTGCTAGTAATATGCATGCTGATAAGCAACTAGCTGATAGTAAATTGTGTTCTTTAATATAAAGTGTTACCATATTTTCTTTATCAGCACATAAATTGCGCTCATCACTTTTAATCCTGTGATGATAGGATGTTTATGGCTGCCATTGTCTGTGTTTAAAGTCCTCTCTCATCTCTCGTTCTCCCTCATATGTAGTCGGTTCTTCTTGCTCTCCTTATCTTTCTGTCTTCTATTCTTTTTCCTCTGTGAGTAACTTTAAGATTGGGGTCCTGTTATGCCTGGATTGTGCTCTTGGGTGGCATTTTGTTGCTTCTTTCTTTTTGTTTTTTAATGAACACATTTTACTTGTGTTTTGGTGATGCCTCCGAAATAAGCTACTCAGAGTGTTTATAACGATAGTGAGTAGGGCTGTCAAAATGGCTGAAAAACTAAATTCGAAATTTTTACTTAAATATTATCTATATTCGAATTTAAAAGGCATAATTTCAGTTAGGGGGGAAAAAAGTTTTGGCTTCTCTCCCGAGGCCACAAGAGGGCGCATCGAGCTAAATATGATGCACGTTTCTTCAAAGCATAATAATTTCTTCACACTATATTCTTAGCACCGTATTACATAACCTCAAGGACCTTTGCAAAAATAAAAAATGTACAGAATTTTATGTGTGCACAAGAAACCATTGAATTTAGCGTATAGGACAATGAACGCTGAGCCACCTATTGTGCCATCAGCCCATTTCGCGGTGTGCTTTCTTGGCCTCCACAGACTTATGCGTTAAAGAGACCTAAGGCCTTGAAATATGGCATACTTCCCTAACGAAAGCCAAATCTTAAACACTTTTTTACAGTACCAGTCTTTTTTATAGACTCTTGAACTTGGTTGCTTAAACAATTAGAAACAAAACAGCATCATGCATGTATGTATAGTTTAATACAAAGGACCGAAAACCAATCACAAAGAGTACTTTCTTCATTTAAAAACTTGAGATGCAGTAGGATGGGGGAAAACCGCCATAAAGTCTTGAGACATGTCTTTTAAAAGTTGAACTTACATACATTTTACATGGCTTTCTAAACATGTGCAACGGTGATAGACGTCCCTCTAGAAAATGCGATAAATATGCGTTCTGCTGCTGTGGTTGTTTGGAGTTATTTTTTGTTGTCGAAATAGCGCAAAAACAGGAAATATGGTTTCTAAAGCGTAAATCTCTTAATTAACTTCTTGTTTATTGAACTGTTGTAAAAAAATCAACATCACATTTGTAATCATTAAACATTTTTAAAGAAAAAACGGCACTCTTCGTGTGAAATTTAATAACTATATGAAGTGGTATAAATTAAATATGCGTTCTGTGTGGCTTGCTTGGTTTCGGTTTTGATGTAAACAACATCTTCCCCGCAGTGATCGTTCTCTTTTTCTGCAATATTTTGAATGAACAACGTAGCAGCGGCCGCATCTATAAATATATACATTTTCTGCCCCCATGTCTTGAATTTGTGATCATTCTAAATGTATTGTAATAGAATGAATCATCAGCACTCTAAATGCGTGCGCGCACTAGTCTAGACTTCACGTAATGTATGCATGCGCTCTGTAGGGGTGTTTTGAAAGTTTTTGCAAAATACTCGATAATGTCAAATCGCACATCGTTAACGCATCTAGTGGCTTCAACTGGATAGGCTAACAGAAACATTATAATACAACGACACTTACATCGTCATCGCATCTCGCATCTCCACTGATAAAGCTGCCTGACGCACACCTAAAAGTTTTTGCATTCGAATGTGGGTTTTTATTTTAAATTCGACGAATATTAGAAATTCGAATTTTCTTTTGACAGCCCTAATAGTGAGCAATGCTGAACAAGTTTAGATTCAATACTAAACTACTGAAGTTAGCGCAAAATATTTTTCTAATTCAAATCTTTTTATACTAACCCCAACTCTGAGCACCTTTCAGAGGTGTTTTAAGTCAAGTCACACTCTTTTAGTGTGTGTGTGTGTGTGTGTGGTTTAACACTTTGTATTTCAATCATGTTAATAGGATAAAGAACCTGGCGTTGCCTTCAAATTACAAATTATGCACTAGGGCTGCAACAACTGATCGATAAAAGTGATTAGATGCATTCATTATATTTGCTTTCAAAGCCTTCAGATTACATATTCTTTGGAGGACAACATTGGGCCAAATGTGGAATAAAATGTTGAATAATTGATTAATATTAATTGTTTTTTTAATTAAAATTGTTCCATTTTAATAATGATAATATTTGGATTTTTATCTGATTAATTGAAGAATCAGCAGATTATATCAAATATCAAAATAATCGTTACTTGCTGCCCTAACGTGCACTGTAGTAATCAGAGGATAATTTAATGATAGTAATAAAAGTTCAAGTTTATTCATTTAACACCAGTGTTTTCAATCTGGGGTCCATGAAGACATTGGGTTCCTGGCTCTGTAAAGTTTTAAAACCCCTAATTTAGCAGACAAAAGAAATAATTGAATCGATGAATTGTTGACATTGAAAAGAAAATATTCCCAAATGAGCAAATATGATGTCTAATCAGATTGGGAAGTCTGTGTCAGTTCCCAAGAGTGCTGCGGTCGTGGTGTCAAAGCCCGGAGGAATGATTTTCCTATGGGTTTTTATAATAGGGTTTTTCAATTTACAAGTTAAACAAGGCCTGTGGTAAAAATAAGCTGATAATACTTGGATGGTTTACTCTACTACAACATCATTTACAGACTGAAAATGTGGCGTTTGAAGCGTTTGTTTGTAATAAGGAACTACATAAGAACATTTGGGGTTAGGGGTGTGCGTTATTAACAAAAAATAATATCTCAGCACTCTAAATGCGTGCGCGCACTAGTCTAGACTTCACGTAATGTATGCATGCGCTCTGTAGGGGTGTTTTGAAAGTTTTTGCAAAATACTCGATAATGTCAAATCGCACATCGTTAAAACAACAATTACGATATTATCGCAGACGATATATATCACACACCCCTATTTGGGGTGTTTGCGGGTTACGTTGTATCTGTAAAGATATTTTTACCACAGACATTATTTTACTCATGATTTGAAAAAACCCTTGAGGGAACCTATGGTGAATTAGTCTTCTGGGTTTTAATGTCACGACTAGGGTTGCAAAAAGTTGGTAAATTTCGGAAACATTCCAGTAATCCAGGATTTTTGGGAATCTTCTGGGAATTTTTGGAAAGTGTCCGGAAATTTACCTGAAATGTTCCGCCCCTTTGCAACCCTAGACTGCAGCACTGGATTAGGCACTTGTATGTACGGTTCGTTTGTCTATTGCACCAGCAGCATGTTCACTACAGAATGAATGACTTTAGCAGTCAGTCGTAGTCACGCAGTTCATGCATGATTCTTTAAACAGTTCTTTTGTCACCTAAATGTATTTCCCACCAAGTATGCTTTCAAACCAGTAACATTTTAATTAAATTGCATTAGAATTTGGTCGAAGGGCAGAATTACTGGCTTGTCTTGTCACTTTATCTCGAATACAAAATGCTCTGTATAACAAACTGTTGCATTGAGCCAATTACTAATACTGCTGATACACGATAGGCATTCATAGTTTTGAAATGCACATTTTCAGTCCAAATCGAAAGATGTTTGTCTAGGTAATCATTCATTCAAATGTAATAAATTGCTTCACCTCTGGAACAACTTTCGGCTAGCATTCCCTAATGGTCTATTCGTTCATGTTACTCGAATAACTAATAGCTGCTGTTGTGATGTTTTGAGTGGTTGTGAAGCATCCCATTTTCACCATCCAATTAATTCTTGAAAATTAATTTTATAATAAAGGCCTGCCCTCTTGTCCTTGTTAGTTTCACTTAGCAGCATCATGGAAGTTAAAATGATATGCGAATGCTGTTTCATGTTGAAGTCAGCAGCATGGGATTTTATAACTACAAGCCTGTGACATGAGGCAGTTGTTTTAAAGTGTACCTGGTTTACGCATGTTAGTAAAAGCTTTTTGATTTGTATGGATTGTGTCACAACCTTGGTTTGTTTTCCTAGATGACCTGCATGTCTTTTTCTGTTGTTTGGTCAAATTCTGGCTTGGACTTTATTATGCATGCATTTTATTTGTCTTCAGAATCGAGGCTTGAAGGCTGGCTAGCGATACCAAATAGGGCTAATATAAAAAGATACGGCTGGAAAAAGCAGGTGAGACTTGCATGAAGAATTGTGTATTAAACTATTATTGTGCATTTGGACATGCATGATACCCACCCTTAACATTTGTTTTTGTTTCCTTCAGTATGTTGTGGTGAGCAGTAAAAAAATTATCTTTTACAATGATGAGCAAGACAAGGAGCAGTCTAACCCCTCTATGGTACTAGATATCGAGTAAGTATTATGATAAATAACTAACCATGAATCAGCTATCCATGATAACTGGCCGTTTTATTCATTCTTGTATATAAAATTGAATGTTTTCCCTTTCTGCTGCTTTAAAACTTTTTATTTTTTCAAAACAGCAAACTTTTCCATGTGCGTCCTGTCACGCAAGGTGACGTTTATCGAGCTGAGGCCGATGAAATTCCAAGAATATTCCAGGTCAGTTATTAAATTTTTTTTTACACACCAATTCTATTTAATAAAGGTTGTGAAATGCCCCATAATGACATATTACAGTATCAGTGCAAACTGCATGAATACACGTAGTTAAACTGTGCTGGATCATGAAAAACTACTGTAGGAAAGCTAAGCTACGACCTGACAAGCACACATTCGGGTCTTTTGGTTCTGTACACATGTGTACGGAACAAATGCAGCATTGTTTTAAGCACTGAATGTGCAGAACTTAAATTGAAACTTATATAAGTTGTATATATAAACAGAGTCTCATCTTTCAAATTGTATCCATTTTATCAGAAAATTCTAACAATAGATGCTACTGTTAATTTCGTTAACGAAAACTATGATGAAAAATGTTCGTTGACGAGCTTTTTTCCCATGGCTAAAATGAGACTCATGATGAAGATGAGACGACAATAAGGTCAATAAACGATAACTATGACTATATCAACATGCAATTTCGTTGACAATATACGACAAGACTAAAATGTATTAAAAAAAAAAAAAAACTTTACCAAAAACCTCTTTATTTTCGTCAAAAAAAAAAAGACAACATGTTATTGTGGACTGCTGTACACTCCTCTACTACACGAGCTTTCATGAGTGCGGTTGCCAGATTTCAATAGTTCATATCCCCGAATCAGAGTTTCGCTGTTACAAGCATACATTTTCTGCCCAGTGTTTTGCTTATTTTAAGCAATCTGGCAACCATGCACACACGCTCACTCCTCATTGCGGAAGCAGCGCCGACGATGATCTGAAAACACCAACAAACAAGCTGGAGTTTAGTGATCTAAATGAAAGTGTCACTCAACCGGGCTGTGTTCTGTCATCAGATCTCGACTAAAATGTGACTAAGATTTCATTGACTAAAATCTGACTAAAATGCTCGTAACATTTCGTTGACTTAAACTTGACTAAACAAAAACAGGACAAGGTTGACTAAATATAACTAAAATGTACATTTGGGTAAGACTAAGACTAAATTAAAAATGGCTGCCAAAATTAATACTGCTGTATGGTTAATTAATAATAATCTTATTGCTAAAATGTCAAGTTTTCATTGACTAAAACTAGACTAAAATGTTGAGAATTTTAGGCCCGGTTTCACAAACGGGGCTTAGCTTAAGCCAGGACTAGGCCTTAGTTAAATTAAGATATTTAAGCAACTTTTACAAAAATGCCTTAGAAGAAAACATTACAGGTGTGCATCTTGACACAGAACAATGACGCTGACATACAGGTGCATCTCAATAAATTAGAATGTCATGGAAAAGTTCATTTATTTCAGTAATTCAACTCAAATTGTGAAACTCGTGTATTAAATAAATTCCCCTTACCAAGTATTGAGTACATGTACAGTAAATTAACATACTTTCCAGAAGGCCAACAATTCATTAAAAATGTTTTTTTTTATTGGTCTTATGGAGTATTCTAATTTGTTGAGATAGTGAGTTGGTGGGTTTTTGTTAAATGTGAGCCAAAATCATCACAATTAAAAGAACCAAAGACTTAAACTACTTCAGTCTGTGTGCATTGAATTTATTTAATACACGAGTTTCACAATTTGAGTTGAATTACTGAAATAAATGAACTTTTCCACGACATTCTAATTTATTGAGATGCACCTGTATTTTAAGATATTTAAAAGCAAGATATTTTCAGTTGAGACAGCTCAAACATGCATTTTAGTCTGGGACTAGCTTAAGCCTTGTCTGTGAAACCGAGGGTATGTCCACTAAAACTGAATAGGATAAGGTTGACTAAATATGATCAAAACTAGCAAGGACATTTAACATGGGACTAAGACTAAAATTGGAAATAGCTGACAAAATTAACACTAGTTTTGATGCTGTTTGATTTGGCGCGACAGATCGCTGTAAATGGCAGTGCAGAGCGCAAATGAACACAACCATCCCTTCCTCTTTATTACTAGTTACGGCACGAAATAAACGTGAATGAACAGCTCAATCAGTGTTTAAACTGCAGAAAGATGTCAATAAAATAGCTTGTAAACAAAATGTCACATAGCATTACATTTACCTTAGGCAAGTCATTAAGTGTCTATAGCTTGTTAGTTCGCTAGAGAAATTAAGTCTAGAGAAGAGAATTATTATAAAGTGCAGTCTTCCTGTAGTTTACAGCATTATCTGAGGTAGAACATTTTAATTATAATTAGATTTATTTATAGACAAAGCAACAATTTGGTTAGTAAACCACTGTTTAATAAAGAAAAAGAAAAAAGAAGCAATTTATGTTTAGTTTTTCCCCGTGCTGTACCAAAATCATACAGAACCGTGACATCAAAACTGAGGTACGTACCAAACCGTCATGTTTGTGTACCGTTACAAACCTAACCAGATCTGCTTTAATGTGATTTGAATGTACTCATCATTAGTCAAACTGTCCACCCTCAACACTCAATAGGGCTTCAGTGTTTTCGGGGAAAGGTTTCCCCATGGTGTCAGCTGCTGACGCAATGTCTCATTCCCTCATCTCATAGCAAACCAGTTTACATCTACATTTTACACAGAAATTAATGTTGTCCTCATGTTTCATGTATACAGTCCAAAGTGTTTATTATGTAATGGCATTATTATATATAAAACATCCCCAGAATTTTTTTTTTTTTTTTAAGTGATATGTGTAATGTGTATATTAAGATCATGACCCTTTAACTGTTTACTCAAATTTACGAATTGAAAACGGTTTTTGTTCTTTAGATCCTGTATGCTAATGAAGGTGAGTGCAGGAAGGAGGCGGACATGGAGAGTGTTCCTCAGGGTGATAAGACCAACTGCTTGCCCCACAAAGGCCACGAGTTCATCCCCACCCTCTATCATTTCCCCTCTAACTGCGAGGCTTGCTCCAAACCGCTGTGGCACGTGTTCAAGCCTCCGCCGGCCCTGGAGTGCCGCCGATGCCACGTCAAGTGCCACAAGGACCATCTGGACAAGAAGGAGGATGTTATCGCCCCTTGCAAAGGTAAAGCACATTGCATGTATACAATTTTGTTATTACCCAAGCACCCAGTAATGATGTGAAATGTGGATGTTTTACATGTCTAAAGCACATAAAGTGAATAAACTAGCCTGATCAACTCACCTTTTTACATGAACAATGAGAAACCATAAAAAAAACTTTCATTACTCCCCTTCATTCATTCAAGTCATCACTACTCTGTATTGGTCCAAGTCGACACATGGATAATCCTTTGCATTACTCAACAAAATCTACAGCAAAGACTGCATGTGTGCAAATGGCTACCCTCATATAACCTTTAATTCTTGTTCCTCAGTGAATTATGATGTGACATCGGCTAGAGACATGCTGCTCCTGGCCTTGTCCCAAGACGAGCAGAAGAAATGGATCGGCCATCTCGGCAAGAAGATTCCCAAGACCCCTCCATCTACCTTCGCAAGGGCATCTCCGCGCACGATGTCCACTCGCTCCGTAGCAAACCAGTCCTTCCGCAGGAACCCCAAAAACATGTCGGGCAAGCCAAGGTAACTACAGCCACACAGTGTCATGCTCAGCCTAAATCACATCATGCATTTGGAGCAGAGAGGATGTGGGAAGTGCTTGAATGTCATAAAAATAATGTCTCGATGGTCCCCAAAATATGACTTTTCTTAATGCAAAATATCATTTTTGATACTTGGGATGAAATGTGACAGGGACACGTTTTTATGAGATTCAACCATTAGCAGTTCTTGATATAAAAAGCTATAATTGTGATGCTGAAGGCCATAAGTTAGAGGCAGGGTGGTCTCGTGACGGGCTGTTTGTTTGCTGTTGTCTCATAGCAGGGCGCAGTCCTTTCTTCAAGCGGCAGACACAACATCCAGTACATGCTGACAGCATCACACAGCCTCTCCAGACCTTAGATTTCTAACGGTGTAGTCGACTACCCCGTGTTTTTACTGTTGAGCTTAACTGTGGTGACGTGTTCTTTGAAGGGGTGTGCTTTTCTGTTTACTGTGGGGTTTTGTTTACTAGAATAGCGGATTCTTTCCTTTACAAACTTAACCAATTCTGGGCAATTAAAAGGGAATTTCCTTTCGCTGGACCGAGGCTCTCTACAGGCTTGGCTTGAAAACTTTTTAAATTCTGTTAGAAAACCCACTTTTGAGCTCCCCGTGCTAATGAAGTGGCATTCAGTACAAATGTGACCCTGCAGCACAAAACCAGTCTCAAGTCGCATGGGTATATTTGTAGCAATAGCCAGCAATACATTATATGGGTCAAAAGTATCGATTTTTCTTTTATGCCAAAAATCATAATCAATATCACAGGATATTAAGATCATGTTCCATGAAGATATTTTGTAAATTTCCTACTGTAAATATATCAAAACTGACATTTTTCATTGGTAATATGCATTGCTAAGGACTTCATTTGGATAACTTGAAAGGCAGTTTTCTCAATATTTAGATTTTTTTTGCACCCTCAGATTCCGGATTTTCGAATAGTTGTATCTCGGCCAAATATTGTCCTATCATAACAAACCATACATCAATGGAGAGCTTATTTATTCAGATGTGTATTTAAAAAAAATTGACCCTTATGACTGGTTTTGTGGTCCAGGGTCACAAATGCTCAAAAAACATCTTATTTGTACACATGTTGGCAAAAGTAACACTTTAAGGGCCAGATTTATTAAACAGGGCAAATTAACGTGAGAACGCAATCCCATAAAAGCGCCGATAGGAGTGGAAAGTTTTGCTGATCTACTGACAATGCGCAAATTAAAGACACAGCCGGATCATTTCTATAGTGACCAACACAATCTACAAAGACCAGCGCAAATTAGCAACTATCGCAGCAATGTTAAGCGCAGAATGGGTTACGACATGCTTTTTTGGGGCGTCATATGATGGTGCAGATACCAGTAAATTGACTACCACAAGCCTTAGTAAATCACGTTGCACGATTTATTTAAATACTCTCCTCCTTGTAAATTTTGTGTCTGAAAAGGAAACTCCTACAGATGCATAAGCAATAAGGTCAGCCACAAAAATAATTGTCCACACATTATCAGTGCTAATTTTCCACTGTGTGTCTTTAGTAAATCCTGGAAAAAGAGGGTTTGCACTGGTGCAAGCTGTTAGTAAATCTGGCCCTAATTCTAACAAGGAAATGCAAAAGATTTGACTTTTTACATTAGAATAATGCAAAATGTCAAATCTTTGAGTAAAATATTGAGTATTGAGTAAAATAGGCATTTTTTTTACCCCCATCTTTCTATGATGGTAACAAAACGTGAATCACATGAAACCTGACAAAGGAAGGACGTCATTCAATATTGCATGAAGAAAATGAAGCTTATTTTTAGGATTTTTTGCATTGTGATCTGTATCAATTAGGCAGCACATGTACCTCACTTCTTTTAAATACAAGAACAGTGTTTAAATGAGTGGAAAAAGTGCAAGGTTTCGAATGCATAGAATATAATATTTCTTAACAGATGATTTAATCTGGAAATTGATCTTGAAATTTTTTAATTCTTTTTCATTTTGCATTAGTACTATATAAAGTAACCAGCAGTTATATTGTGCTCAGGTGATATTCTATGTAAAATTAACTTTTATTAAGTAACTTCCAGGCATTTTGTGGTACAAGGTTATTTTCGTAAACGAAAACTAAAACCAAGACGAAAACAATTGATCAAAAAAAAATTTGTGGAACTGAAATAAAATAAAAACATTAAAATAAGTGAAAAACTAAAACTAAACTAAACTAACAACAGTTACTGAAAAACGAACTGAAATAAAATAATAATTATGAAAAATAAATGTACTTACTTTTTCCGTACTGTAAACGATACAAACTTTTGCCTACATCTTGTGAACAACCTGCCCGGCTGTTTTGAACAAATGTGATTAAACTACACGCTTATAATTCTTCATAAACCCTGCCATGTATATGTGTCCATTGGTCCTTTATAGAAGCATTAAAAATAAAACTTATCAAATACAATTATTTATAATCTACAGAAAGTGAGCAACGAGCGGTCCTTCACTTCAGCTGCAGTGCGAATGGCTATAATCGCAACACTGCAAATCCAGTGTTGAGGCTCTACCATTATTTAAAAATGCAAAACTATATAATAACCTTGTTGTGGTTAGGCAATATGTCCTTAATTGTCATGAAAATGTCAGTGCATAAATATATCTTAATAGTCCTAAAGGCTTCATTTCCTTTATGTAAAATAAGTTTTAATGGTTACTACTTGTTGTTGTCATGGTTGTTTTGTTTTCTATAATTAAACGTGAGCTGGACAAGCTTTTGTTAGATTCACACACGTTACCACATAACTTGAGATGTTTGCGTGAAATTTGAATCACATATCATGATTTATGATTGTCTGTTTAACATGAACCCTCAAGTAAGAATATGACCCCAAACTTAAACTTTCTTACAAATACTGGACATCTTCTTTTTCTTCTTTCTTCCAGCTAACCATCTGAACCGAATTGGGATTTTGTACTTTCCTCTCCAAAAACCTCTTTAGAAAAATCTGTAACGACCTTGGAATTAACCCTTTAATGTTGCATTTCACAATTGAATAAATGTAAAAAACAGACCGTGATTGGTGCTGAAGTTCAGGATTTACCGATCACAAGGCATCATGGACATTTTTTGCCATCATCTTTTTTCTCCCCGTAACACTGGGATCCTCAGATTCTATTTAACCTCCTGCTGTCCAGAGGAAAGCATCTTTTCACATCTTGGGATGGAAACTATAAGCTGATCTCATGCCCATGTCTCTCTGTTTGGATTCTGGGATAGGGACTGTAGCTTGACACCTTTTGAAATTTGGTGAACTAACCATAAAAGGGTCTTTGGGACAATATTTTTAGTTTGCAAACTATTTCTACTTAAATCCACTTCGATGCCGCCTTCTGATGGACTCTGGTTGCCTTATTCAATCCCTCAAAGTCTGAATGGAAAATGAATTGGGTTTGGGGCAAAGGATTGGGTACTGAGTGTTTTTGAGGGGAGATTTTGAGGGCTTTTTTTTGTTTGTTTTTGTGGAGCATGGAGAATTATTACAGTCTATGCATAATATTATCAGAATTGTCTTTATCATTATAATTTGTTTTGGAGGCTCCAAGCCATAGGATATCATCATAATGGCGTCAGGAGACATGAAATGTCATAGAAACCATTGTTTCAAGTTTTTGTGTCTGTGTGTGTTCATTGGGTACATTGTTTCTGTAATATTCTTTTTTGTAATGTGTTGCCTTACATTTGATTCATAGATAAATGTTTCAAAAAGGAAAACATTAAGTTAACAAATGTAACTGCACTGTTTGAATTGTAATTTATTTGTAGAAGACTAAACAGCTGTAGCGTTCGGCTCACCTAGTGCCTTTTGGATAACAATTTTACTGCCATATCTGTTTCTCTCCAACAAATCTTTACTATTATGATACTTTGAAAACCAACATATCTATTACAGTGTGACTTTTCTTTTCTTTTTTATCAAAACCTAAATGGTTTTCAAACAGAGCGGGCCATCTATTGCGTGTCTTAATTGTTGTCAACCAAAGTTCAGAAGTTCTGCATGAAGCGCCATGATGAAGGCAACATGTCCTGCTATTTTCATAATCGATAACGGAACAGTTAACATCCCCACCTTAAAATAGATTTCATTCAGTGTACATATTCAATTGAAACGAGATGATGAATACCTCCTCAATAATCTGACATGGTTTTTACATGCGTGTTCGGTAAAATAAGCACTGGAACTATGATCTGTTTTGTCATGGATGCATTGCATGATAAATTGCATTGGAGGCCGCACTGATGGATATGTGTCAATAAACATATCTTTATCCATCACCTAAGACTGTCTTCTGTGTGTGTTTTACCTGATTTAATCATGTTTGATGTATCATTTGGTGCCTTCACAACTGACCTAAACCACTGTATTATCCATGAACATTTGCAAAATACAGTTCATAATGTCTAGAGATTGTCAGACTTGATCAATTTTCAAATATTAATGGCTGATCATCATGACATTTGAGATAAGCTTTTAAGAAGTTTACAGATGTTGTGAAAATCCAGTGGTGCTGTAACTTGCAAATGCTTTCCTTTATAACTCAGGAGCTGTAGAAACCTGAATGAAAATTCAGTAGCACTTTACTTGAAGCCTTTATATATGATGATGCATTAAGAAAGTATTTTTAATGCTCTAATTATGCTTTCCAATGCACCCTAAAAATGCACTATTTCATGGTATCATGAATAAGTATAATACTTATCTATTTATTTTCATGCTTTAGTATAAGTATAATGAATTGGAAAACATGACAAACAACCAATTGTAGATGTAACAACAAATCTGCAACTATTATAATGTATTTTAACTTTGGTTTTATATAATGCAACGTATGAAAATATGTATAATATACATAGTCTTCAAGTAGTGTTGCCCAAAATTCATTTTTTACCTCAAGTGAAACATAATTTTGTATCTTGCTTAACTTTTGTTTTTGTCGTTATTCGTTTTCTGTTGTTTCTGATAAGATTGCTAAAAGTTAGTCATGTTTTTTTTGAGCTAATGAACCTGTACGTTCTGAATCCAATGTTAACAAACACGCTAAGACAATCGGAGGACACATTTTATCTGAGGAAATGTCATCCAGACTTGGCCCTAGTACTGTAACAAGGAACTCTTTAGTCATTTAGTCGGAAGTAGTTTGACTCATTTCTTTTAACTTGATAGAAGTGTTGCCATTATCTAAAAGTGCAACTGGACCGTGGGCAAAAAACAGAGCTCAACACAAAGGGATGGGATTGACTCCCTTTTGCAGCCAGCCTCTAGCGGCCAGTCGATGAATTACAGTTTGTCACTTCCGTGTTGGCTTCACGAGAGAGAGCGGGAGGTTGCCGCTTGGATTTGACCAACCCATTACTCCATTACAAATTAAATAATGAAAGTTGAAGTCAGTAATGTAATCTGTTAGATTACACATTTTAGCTAATATAATCTGAGTACTTTCTGATTGCTTTTTAGATTACTATAACCAAAGTAAAAAATGCTGTACCATTACGATATAAAAATACAAACAGGAACAAAAAAAAATATTCCATTCTATTTAACAACAACATAAAGTGCCTCAAACAGTCCATTGTACCAGTTGTGCCGAGACATCTCAAATTATACCAGTAATGACTGTGAAAATCACTTGCTTTCATTCAGAACTTAAAATTTGTACTAACGTGTGTAAGTTCTTACTATACTTTTTTTTCTTAGCATTTAGCTTTTAAACGTATAAATGCTCTTCCTCATCACAATGTGCTAATGCATGTGTAAGGGTATCATAATACACTGATTCAGGACTGCTGAATCAACATTGAACTCATTTGAGCTGAATAATGACAGTTGTCTTCTGTTGAGCTGCGTCAAATCATTTCATAACTTAAGTTAAACTTAATTTCTAGTTTATTTATCCTTTGAACCTGCTTTGAAACCTGAGTGGAAAAACGTCGATACTGGTCTGTGGTAAATACATTATTAATACCACAGTAGTTTTAAGGCTACAAAAGACTACTTAAAAGCAATAAATGTGATAAAAGAATTTAGTGTGTGAGCTTTTTCTTTTGTTCACCTACTTTTATTATCCTGAACGTTGATGATAGTCCACACTCCATCACAGTAGGTGGCGGAAAATACCTACCACACGTTTGTTTGCTAACCGCCATAAAATCAGAAGATCGCGTGCGGTGACAAATGCGACCTCTAGAGGGCGGGGCTTTCGACATGAGACGCAGCTTGTGATTGGTCCATCCTGATCCAGCGCTGAGAAAAGTAACATGTGTCACTTGACAGCGCCGTTTACGCTGCTCTCCAGCGGCAGCTTGAACAACAATTTCTAAATGAATACTGACACTGAAAAACGGGAATAGACATTAAACGGACGTTACGCAGTTAAGAGTTAAAACTGGAGAATTCATATTAGAAACATTAAAACTTACTAATTAGAGATAACTTCCGGGTCACCAAACCCAGTTTCACGCTTATTGCCGTTGTGTTGCGTTTCTGTGTCACTGCTGCAGCAGACCTCGCTCACAAACATGGCAGCCAAAGCAGGGAAACAGAGTCGCCCTAGAAAGGCGGAGAAGGATGAAGAGGAGCAGCCGCTGCTGCAGGCCGTTCTCGTCGCAGACAGCTTCAACCGCAGGTTCTTCCCCATCAGCAAAGACCAGCCTCGGGTGAGTGAGGTCAACATCACAATACTGCACAAAACACAGCTTCATCGTGAACGTGTGCCTCTGGATCCAAACACACGAGTCACTGCGATACTGAACAAAACACACAGCTTCAGAGGTCCATCATGTGTTCTGGACATGGTGCTGTGGCTAACTTTTTCTGTTTATTTGTCTGTATTTTAACTGTACAACTTGTCATGTGCAAACATGGCAACAACAATACAGTAGGTTCGGTATTTTATTTTTTTATTTTTTTTAGATCAATATGCTAAAAAGTACTGCATTTTATTTATTTTTTATCATTTCTGGGCTGTTATATAAGAAAGAAAGTCATTGTGACAAACTGGGTTTCACTTTAAAGTATTTTGATTTGTGTATATGCAATTTTAGCTGAGTAAGGAGAATGTTATCTATGTTATTGTTCATAACTTTCTCCTGCTTTTTGCTTAGTAATAGTACAGTGTCCTTAAAAGTACCTTTATGTACCATTTATATACCATGCTAGGTGAACATGGTAATCGAGTAACATGATATTGTTGGTATCTAATGCTATTTTATTTTACCTTTTTTTGGACCTATGGTACCAATACTTTTAAAATAACTTGGTTATTGGTAACTATTAACTGCACTATATTGGGGAAAAAAATGGCATTGCAATATTTTGTTTGTCTGCAATATTAAAATGTACAGGATTTTTCACCAGATGACTTGAATAGCTTTATTTGAAAATAAGTAATCTTTCTAGAGTAAGTGATGTGATTTTGTGCATCTGCATGGGAAAAAATTATAAAAATAATAATAATAAAAAAAAAAAAATTCACAAAAAAATAAATTGATTAAAAGTAATACACTGTTCACACTTG